GTCTAGGCCCGAAACGTCAGCCTTTCTGCTCCTATGATGCTGCTTGGCCTGCTGTGTTCATCCAGCCCTGCATCTTGTTGTCTCAGAATGCAGCATCTTATCAGTTTTTTATTCTTTGTTACGAGCTCGAGTTTCCTTGTTGTTCGCACAATCTTCATCTTCACAAAATAATGCCTGGCTATCTCTATTCCTCTTTTACTTTCTGCATTATACCTGCCATGTTCTCCTATCATTTGCCCTACATAGACAAACATATTGACTTGTTCCATTGTGCCACCATCCACTGCAATCTTCATTTTGGTTTCTTATACATTCTTTCTCATCCACATTTACTTTTGGTGTTCATACTCAACCCATATTCTAAATATTTAGGATTTATTTGCTGTGCAATGTTTTGTCAGAGCTTCTTCTGATTTCACAAGTAGCACTCCATATTAATGTGTCACAAATTAATGGTTCATACCTCTGAATTTTTATTCCTGGAAGTATATCTAATTCTCTGAATATTTGTTCTGTGTACTGATTGAATAGTACACAACAGTACACAAACTTGTCATAATCCCCTCTTAAATTGTCTCCAATTGTCCCTTTTTCTAGACTGATTCTGGTCCCGTATCTGTTTCCTTAAATTTATATTTCTACTTCTGGGGTTCTGTCTAAGCAGCCGTGCGTTTCATATTTGTTGACATTCAATACTTTGTATTTATTACATTCCTTGTTTGCTTTGTGAGCATAACAAGCTGGAGAGGCTTCAGAAGAGATGTTGATGGGTATGGAAGGTTTGAGTTATATGGAAAGGCTGGATAGGCTGGGACTTCTTTCACTGGGGCGTAAGGAGTTGAGAGACAACCTGATAGAAGTTTATAAAATATTGAGAGGTATAGATAGCGTTAAAGGTAGTTGTCTTTTCCCTAGGATGGGGGAATTTCAAGACTGGAAGCACATTTTTAAGGTGGGAGGAGAGAGATTTTAAAAAAAGGCCTAAGAGGAAATTTTTTACACAGGGTGGTTCTCATGTGGAATGAACTTCCTGAGGAAGTGGTGGATGCGGCTATAATTACAATGTTTAGAAGATGTTTGGATAGATACATGAACAGGAAAGGTTTGGAGGGATATGGGTCAGAAGCAGGCAGGTGAGACTAGTTTAGTTTGGGATTATGTTCAGCATGGACTGGTTGGACCGAAGGGTCTGTTTCCATGTTGTATGACTCTGATTATAATTGTTTAAGTTACAAAGCTGCTATAAATAAAGTGTTCAGAGAGCATTGGCTTCCTGTAGCATAATGTATGAATGATTCTTTCCCACTGATCAACAGAGAAGTAGCCACACATGTAATGGCCTTTCCAGCTGCCAGATCACTAATCTGTCAACAGTCCAATTATAAGGATACCTGTTGCTACCAGAGGCAGTTTTATTGTCATGAAACATTACTTAAATTGGTAGATAATGTTTTTGCACTTCAAATCGTTCACCTTCTCTAATATTAACGTGATTCGGTTTCTGTTAAATCGTGTTTTCTGTCTTCTGTTTCTCTGTTTAATTTGATTCTGTTGTGTGCCAGGCTATGAATCTGGAACCACATTCCTTATCCTCGCATCAGGAAGATATCTCCTTTCAGCAGTCAGCAGGAGTCCTCCATCAGTTTCCTACAGATCCCTCACTTCCTTCATACAACATAATGCCTTCAGTATCAGAAAACAGTGATATCAGTAAGTAGGGTTGATTTATTGCTTGCTGTGTTGCTGGTGTTAAAGCAAGTCATTAAAACCGATAGAGGGGTGACCAGGCATGAGCTGCCTGAAGAAGGAAGAGGCAGTAAGTGGGTTACTTTGAGAAATAGTGAGGGTTGTGGGAACAACAGTATAATGAGATGATTCAGGGATTTTAGAACATGTTCCATCTACACGATTAATTTGTGGTGTTACTGAAAGGAGTGGAGTGAGAAAAAAGTGTCACTCAAAGGAAATTTGGAAACGCAAGGAAGGGATCTAAGATTTATTGTTTCATCAGTCACTGTTGAAAGTCAGGAATTTCTGAGTGAATGTTTGCAAGTGGAGTAGCTATTTTGATGGGGATTCTCAAGCAGAGGGCTTGCAAAAAAATTTCAAGGAGTCTGTTAATACCATTCCAAGGCTCTCACCACCACAGCCAATCTAATCCTGAATTCAGCTCAGCTGCTGATCAACAGACAAAATAGTTAGCCCCATACCAGTCATGTGATTCCTCATGTGTGCACACACATGCTCTTGCTCTATCTGTCTCTCTCTCTCTTTCTCTCTCTCTTTCTCTCTCTCTGTCTCTGTCTCTGTCTGTCTATCTCTCTATCTCTCTCTCACTTCACTCATGCTGTAGTGTCTCTATCTTTGAGCCAGGAGACCTGGGTTCAAGTCCCAATTGCTCCAGAGCTGTGTAATAATATCTCTAAACAAGTTGACTAGAAAATATAAAGCTAAATTGCTGAGAGTATTTTTTTAGTAGTCTTCATGTTCAGATCTAATAATAGAGGCTTTCAAAATTACTGTTGTAGCCTCTACTGAACTGAGAATATGTCAGCTAATCCTGACGTGGGCAGATTGTGACATTGAACAGCCACTGGTGCTGTGTGGTGTTCAGTCTGCCATTTGGACAAGACAAATCCAACTAGCATCCTGACAAATCACTCAAGCTGAATATGCAGTTCTTACCTTTCTATCCATCTGCTATGTCCTGTCAGAGCTTTCTCTTTGTCAAAATTGTAAAATTAAAGCTGCCAACAAAAAAACAGTTCCATAATTACCTGACCTAATGGCCCTTACAGTAACACATGAAACCTTTGTGCAAAAAGAGAAGGTCTGCAGTTTGGATCAAAAAATAAGGTGCAGACGATAGTCTAGTGAAGACAAGCAGAAGGAGTGTGGTAGTGATAGGGGACGGAATTGACAGCAGGACAGATACTGTTCTCTGTAGCCATGATCAAGTGCTCCCTACTAACAGTCAGGTCCAAGAATCCCCTCAGGAGTGGCGATAACCTGGAGTGGGAAGTTTCACTCGTTGTCCATGTACGAACCTAGATCATAAGAAGAACCAGGAGTAATGTTCTGCTGACAAATTTTGAGTTACAGCACAGTTAATTGTCTGTATGTCATTTGCAAAGTGCCAATTGGCATTGGATCAGCAGTTTAGAGAGTCACTCGTGTAGAATAACGTAGCAATGTGGGTAAAGACAAACAGAGATGGACAGGGAGTTTCACAGTAGTTGGAAATTATTGAGTAAGGTCCACGCAGGATTGTATGAAATGAGAGTCTCTATCTTAATGAATGATCCACAATAAGATAGATAAATTTGTGTCACAAAGATAAATGGTTTAAATTTAATTACCATTATAGAGATCTAGTTACAAACAAAACATTAGTTACCTTTTGAGTTGTAATTATCTTACGTAATATTTAAATAATATTTTAAATCTTAATGATTTTTTTTTCCAGCCTCTAGGTGTTTACCAAAGCTTGTTTTTTCCGTACTGGACATGCTGTTTTAGTTTTAGAAATTGGTCTTTAAATGTATGCCTCTGAAACAATTAAATTATGACCTTGGGTATAAACAATAATATTGGTTATCAGCTCTGTAGATGTAGACAAAGCTTGGGAACTGATGGCCCACATAATAGGGCCAAAAGTTAAGTCAATGGATGCATTGAATACGATTTTCCAAATCTCTTCTTTATGTTTGGGAATAGTCCAAATTTGATTGAAAATAAAATTGGAAGTTGGCAAATATAAAGTCGCTTTTCAAGAAAGTAGGATTTAGTAGGGAAGTCTTAACAATACATTAAGAAAAGCACAGTATGATTAGAACAAAGCAACCCAAAGTGAAATTTTGTTTGACAGGTTTATTGGAGCTTTTTTGAGGATGTAGCGAGTGGAATAAAGAGATCTAGTGGATGCCAGTACTCTTGGATTTCTGAAAAGCATTTGATAAGGTACCAAAAAAAAAGTTAATAGGCAAAATAGAAGTTAATGGAGTTAGTGGTGATATATTAGCACAGATGATTATTTAATGGACAGGAAGCAAATAGTAGGTATAAACAGAGCAATGAAGTTAGTATTAGTTAGGATATAAGCTACATTTTTTCAAGGAAAGGAGATGCGATGTTGTCAAGGAGAGCCTGGGAGAGATGAATACATGAATGGTTCAGATGTAGAAAATGATAAAATAAACCCGTGATATGATGGAAAGAAATTAGACTTAGGCTGGATAGTTGTTTTCCATTGAGAACCGTTGTGCTATACCTGAGAAAATGTTGATAATACCAAACTTAATCTTCCCAATTGGTCTAGCACGAAGAGACAAATCGTTATGGTTACTGGCAGCAAATAGCTCAGCTAAGTCATGTTAGGTGAGAAAGTTATTCAGACAGAGCTGATCTCCCCATGCAAGCAGCATCATGGGCAGCATGGCACAGCATCACTTGCGCATAAATAAATTTCTCGCTGCTTATGTATTCTCAGGACCATCTAGAAAACTCCTATGCATTGCATATCAAGGCACTGGAGCAAAATAACAGCTATAATGAATCCATTATTCTTATTCTTTCATGGAATCTGGGTGTCACTGGGAAAGCTAATATTTATCCATTCCTAGTTGTCCTTGAAAAGTGGTGATGAGTTAACTTCTTGAAACACTTTGTAGTGCATCTTATGTAGGTACACCTACAATGCTAAACCAAAGGGAGTTCCAGGATTTTGATCTAGCCACAGTGAAGGAATGGCAATATAGTTCCAAGTCAGCTAATGCAGTGTAGCTGACGTAGATTACTATTTGTTGGTGCACCATTATCATTTAAATCCAAGCCTTTCAAATGTTGGTTTTCTTCATGTTTCAGTCTAATTAATGCCTGGCATGCTTCAAAATTAGATCACATTTTAAATATTATCTTAGAGATAGCAGGAACTGCAGATGCTGGAGAATCTGAGATAACAAGGTGTAGAGCTGGATGAACACAGCAGGCCA